CTAAGGTCTCCCCTGAGCCTCCTCTTCTCCAGGCTGAACACCCCCAGCTCCCTCAGCCTCTCCTCATGGCACTTGTGCTCAAGTCCCTTCACCAGCCTCGTTGCTCTTCTCTGGACCTGCTCCAGCACCTCGATGTCCCTCCTGAGCTGAGGGATTCTATGATTCCCAGAGAACGTGTGTTGTTTGAGCTACTCATTCCAGTGATTGTATGATGAAATGTCAGTTTTTCTCCTCGCACACTGGGAACAGCTGGTGTTCTGGATAGAGGTGCTGGGGGCTTCCCTGACTGCAGTGCAGGTTTCAGGTCACGTTTGATAGATGAAGTTCCAGTGGCCTCTGGTCATTCCATCCCAGAGGCAGTTGGTTCCTGGAGCCTGTAGCACTGTGTGTATTCCCTGGCCTGGGAACGGCTGCATTCCTGTATTTGTGCATTTGAACAGGTTTTACCTGATGAAATCCTGCAGCTGGAGGCATTGTAGCTTTGGAGTGTGTGAGCTGCTGTGCAGAGAGGAGATGCTCCCTGTGTGTGCTGCACATGGAACTGCAGAGGGCTGAGCGTTGCAGGGATGGGGATCACATGCAGAGTCACTGATGTAGCAGCACTGGGCTGATAGGGCTGTGGGGTGTTTGGGATGTTGTATGTTTGCAGAGGCACATCCCAGTGTTGATGTGTCAGAGAATCCCAGTACACACTGCTCTGAATTGACTGTGCACATGTGGGAACGGGTACTTAACCAGAGTGTTTCACAGTAGCCTATTTAATGTTTTACAAAGCTGGTTTATTGGCACATGAAATTAGTAAAGCTGTTTCTCAACTTCCTAAAGTCACAGTTGCCTTCAGGATCATTGATCCCATCCAGTTCCTGCAGAATCAGCGTTTGCCACTGATTGAGGCTTTGGCAGGTGTTGGTTCTTCAGGACACAGTTGCTGATCACTTCCAGGAGCAGAAGTGCTCCTGGTAGTGCTGTGAGCCAGCATTGTTCCCTGACTTGCCCCCTGCTAAATTTCATCTCAGCTGGTTTCTCAGAATCATTTTGCTGAAGTTTCTCTGATCTCTGGCAAACACTTCTCTAACAGTGGCACTGAATCTCTAATCCCATATTGTTCCCAGGACATTCTGAACTTGAATTCTCCTTTTTCACCCATCTCTGTGAACAAAATTATTCACATTGAGTTGAAACAAAGTAGAATCAATAAATGCAGTGCTGTCCCAGCACTCAGGGGTTCTGTGGTGTATGAAGTGGTGGTGACCTGTTACTGTAAAGCAAAGTAACCCATCCTGACTTCTGATGGAGCTGGGGTTTTCCTTTTCCCAGTGGATAGATTGTAGACTTTACATTCTGCCTGTACTTTTCTGTGTTACGTGATGTCTTAGAAATGCTGCACTGCAAGTTTGTTTGACAGCACTGTAGAGGTTACTTTCATACTTAGGAACATGTGATGCATAACCTTAATTCTTTCTTCTTTTGGACGTTTAGCATTGAGTGGGTAAAGCCTCTGGAGTCCAAAATAAGAAGGTTTGGTGCTGACTGAGCTATTAATTCATAGTGATTTTTAGTATTAGGGATTTTAGTATTAGTGATTTGAGCTATTAATTCATAGTGCTTTGCAAAAGAGATTTTACTCTGAAGGAGAGTGAAGCTGCCATTCCAGTCCTGTTCCCTGAGCTGAGCCAGCCCTGAGGAGCTTCTCATGGGGATCCAGGGTGCGATTTGGACTTTTCAGACCTGCACATGCCAGTAACAGCAACAGGCTGTCAGGTGGGAAGGATGTTTCCCCTGGTGCCCTGTTATGGACAGTGTGGGAGGCGACAAGTCACATGGGATTGAAGAGCCCTGAGGTTTTCCCTTGGTGCCCTGTTATGGGCAGTGTGGGAGGCGACAAGTCACGTGGGATTGAAGAGCCCTGAGGTTTTCCCCAGAGAACGTGGGACAGTTTGGCCTTTATTCACAGCAGAGCACAGTGAGTTCCAGGAAGGTCCCAGAGGCAGTTCCTGAGCACAGGCAGCAATCCTGTGTCAGGCACTGCAGGTGCCCTTAGATGCATTTCCTGCGTTTTGGGTGACCAGGCCGAACAAAACCTGGGAATGGGTCTGGCCATGGACCTGTTGTGGCCTCTGCCCAGGGCCCTGAAGTTCTCAGCAGTGCCTCACTGTGGGATGGAGGATGGAAATGGCCTAATGAACAGAAGAGGGAAAACTAAAATGGAACAAATTGGTATTTCAAAAATAACCCAGGAGCTGCCATTTTATGCCTTTAGAATGTCTCCAAAAGGAGTATCAAGACATCCTTTCTGAGCTGCACTGCTGCAGTCTGTAGCTCCTCAGAGCTATACATAATATATGTACATAGATATTTTGCACAGCTATTCTCCATCTTCACTGATAGATGATCTTCACAGCTGGGGGCTCTGCTTTTCTAAGGCAGCCACAGGAATATCTTGTTTGACTCCTTGCCTGCATAACACTGCTAGAGCTTCCTGGGGTGCTACATTTTCTCTGTACAGGGCTGTCAGAGGATTTCAGAAACAAGAAATAGATTTTTTTATTGGCCTTGAGTTTTCCTATTGAGCTCCAAATATCCTTGGCTTTCTGAAGCAGGTTGGAGCAGCATAAAAAACCAGCAGGCAGTAAGAGGGAAAATGCCCTATCGTGCACAGCTGACACACACACAGTGTGGCCCTTGTGGTTTGTGCTACAGCAGAGGAGTTTTCACCGGGACTGACAGGAGCTCGAGAGAGGAGAGCACAGCTCTGTTGACACAGACCCACAGAACCCAGAGTGATGTTTGGAGCAGCCACTGCCTCACAGAGCATAGAGTGTTACATCGGGGGAAGAAAATTCTCCTGCTCACAGTCCCATCACGTCTCCGTGGCTGCAGGCACTCCAGCCATCTGCCTTGCCTGAAGTGACAAGGGAAATCTCTCCAACTTGACCTGTGAAACATTTTGGTCTCACAATTAGGTCTTTCAAAGCCAAGAGCAATACAAATTTCTGATTTTCAAACCTCTTAATTTTCCTTTTAATAAGGCAAACCGGAGGTTAATGTGCTGGTAACCTTCTTGGGCTTACTGGAAGCACAGTCTGGAGTTTTTCAGACAGATTACAGTGACGTGGTTTGTGGGCAACTGAGGAAGATTAAAAGGACTTACTCCTCCTCCCATGGATAAGTCTACCCCAGTGTCCATGTGCACAGAGCAGTTACACCCATGGAGGTATCTCCAGGCAAAAGAAACCTGTTACTGTGTGCACAGCCCCCTGAATTGCTGCAGGCCCCTAACAAGATCTGTCTCGGATGTGGGCAGGGTGGCTGGCAGGATATTGTGTTCTGCTGGCAGAGATAAAATTGAGCATTTCACAGCCCAGAGAAAAGACTGATTGATGTTTATAAATAACCTGTAGTGTTCAGGTTTGTATCCTTTGTAGAAAACCTTTTGAAAATGTGTAGGAGCTTCATCCCAGTGCCCTGACCAGGTCTGCTCAGTGAGCTGCAGAGAGGCATCTTGAAATTGTTCCTGTTCATAAGTGCCTGAGTATCAGGTAACCATGGCTGACATTGTAGCACAGCTCTGTTCCTGTGTGTCAGTCCTACATTCATATCCTTTCTGATGGATGGTTATTACATGCTTTTGCAGGATTCTCTCAGAGAAAGCAAAATGCAAATGGTGTGGATGATAGGCAGAAAGAATATCTTCTGTAGCTCACTCTCCAGTGAGGAACTGGAACAACACATATTTAATTTGGGGTGTAAATTTGGGTAAATGAAAGATGTGAAATATGGTTCTGGATGAGCAACAGTTACTATGTGTAAACCTTTGTCAACAACCTTGAAAGACAACATGAAATCACAGCTTTCCCCTAAGATCTCCTAATGTCCAGAGTTTTGCCAGTTATTGATTACAATAACTGTCTGCTCAGGGAGTTGGATTTCTTCCTGAGGTGGCATAAACAGTTTGTTTCAGTCTGGCTGTGGAGCATTGCATCTAGGAACAGGGTGTGTGGTCTGAGCTTCATAGTTTCCCTTACAGCATCCCTGGAA